CTCTATGAATAACCCCACGCGTACACGATTATCGCAATGCCACCAACCAAAGCACAGCCTGATAATTGGCCAGAGTGCCAAAGTGGTCACTCTTGTACATTGTCTTGATCTGCTCCCACTGCGGCGATCCACCGAACATCGTAAACCCGCAGGGACCTCGAGTATCTATGACGTAGCCAAATACGTGCAATGAGTTGTTGAGATAAAACCGCTTCGCCTACAGTCAAAATGCGTAAGGCATAGTAGCTCGATATGCTGACAGACGCACCTGTTTCGTCAAGTCTGTAACCACTCGATTAAACTCCTGTCCAATCTTCCCCTTCTTGGCGAGATCTTCTAGGTAATCGGCCTTGAGCTGATCATACCGCTCCACGTATTTCTTAGCGGCCGCCATCTTCTCTGTCTTGTCAGTGTACTTGCCAATCTCCTCGTGATACGCTACTCGCATGCGCTTCACGAAGTCCTCTCTGGACTCTACGAATGGAATGAATTAAGACACTGATCATATTCTACGCAACGGGGCACTTACCGTCATCACGCTGGCGGTGCTCCTCGGAATACCACGAGGTATACGCGGACCAGGGATTGGTCACTCGATGTTGGACCATATCAGGTCCGAGGATTAGCTTCATGATCGCGTCCGGTGTCCTGCCTGTCGCCTTCGCCATCTCGGCAACGAAAAGATCCATCTCCTCGATGAAGTCATCTATCTCGTCTAGATAACGTTGGGGGATAGAGCCGGTCCTCGAGCGAGTGTTGCCAGTGCGGTTGCCATCATCGGGTGTCTCGGATTCTTCATCACTAACGCCTGCTTTACCCTTGCCTTTCCTCTTTGATCTGCCGTTCCTTCCATCCGCCTGACCATCATCCGCGCTCGTCTTTCGTGTCTTGGTGCGGGCGCTGTCGACGGTGTCAACCTCATCTTCGGTCTCTCCAACATCGGATCCGTTGCCACTGGCGTCGTGCTCGCGGGGTCTTGCGCTGGTGTGCTTGCGGCTGTTGGCGGTGGCGCGCTCTTCTTTTGTTTTCTGCGGCGCCATAGAAGTTCCCTTCTTCGCCAGGCGGTCAGCATCCGGGCGCCGCCCAATGGGCCGCGCGTCGACGAACGGACGATCTTCAACTTCACTACCCTCGCCCTCCGCACCGTCAGGAATCACGCCGGTCTTGCGACTGTAGGTTACGATATTCTTTGGAGCATTCTCGGAACGCGGAGCGCGGTCGGATATTGAGCGCTTCTTTGATGGAACGCGATTCTTCTTCGTCTTCTTCGTTCCACTGCCTTCGTATTCATCCTCCAGTTCCGCCTCTTCCTCAAGCTCGTCAACTTCGGACGGGCTTTCGTCGTCCGGCTCCTCATATGAGGAGCTGTCGTCACCTGAACTTGAGTGATTCTTCTTCACGCCCTCCGACTCGTCACCGGTGCTCGAGTCGGTGTCCTTGGACTGCCCGCTGACGCTGGGAGTGGCATTTTTCCAGGTGCTTTCTTCCTGGTCAATGACGCCTGGGTTATCGTCCCCATAAGAGCTCATATCGGGGGCATCGGAGTGAGAACAGCTGCTAGGGCTTCCGAGCACATCACCAGGTCCATTCGACGAGTTTCTTCTAGTGCTCCTGGAGCGAGCGTCGAGGGCTGCCAAGTTTATGTGAGGAGTGCGTTTGCGCGTTGTTGGCGAGTGGCCAAGGTAAGCCGATCGAAGCGTTGTCGGTGCGAGATTCCGCCTCTGTATGGCTATTAGGCACGTACTAGCATAGTTTGGATACCCACATACCGGAGTGAGCTCGACACCATCGAATACAACCTTCGGTTGTGGCGAAGCCGTGAAGAGCGGCGACGAAGGCATCTCGTATTCATGCCTATTTACAACAGGATCCATGTGCTCCAGTACCGATTGCGAGTCGGGAGATCGTGAATTTCCCATGAGATCGACAGGCGCAATGTGTGTATACGAGGCGCTCGTGGTGGAAGGTTGCAATGGGGATATTGGTGGTGTTGTCGGCGATGGAGGCACTAATTGGTTGTTGTCGGGAATCCCCTCCGTGGGTAAGGTAGAAGGACTCGCGGGACGTGAAGCCAGCGAATACGGCTCCGAATTTGCTTGAGGAGATGGACGACGATTAGGCGTCTCAGTGGACATCTCGTTAGGAACGGTATTCGTCGTGCCGAGTTGTGATGTGATAGGCACATTTGCACCATTGCCGGACTGGGACCCCGAGGGTCTCCGCCAATTGGCATGCAGCCGAGAAGCGAGCGCTTCTACTTTCATCTTCGCCCACTCAGGAACCGAGGTCGCGGATTTGTGCGCTATTGTCTGATGCGGCGCTGGTGCAGGGTAAAGAGACGAATCGATGAAGCCTATCGCCCTATTCGCCCTTGCCAGCAATGCCGCCGCTCGAGGGTCACCCTCATTCTGATTCAATCGAAGATTAGGAAGGATCACCTCAAGTTACGACTGAGGGCTTACCGCTATCACAGGCTCCGCAACAGCGGCGTCACCAATCGATACAGTCCCAGAAACACCTCCTCGATCCTTCAATACACGAGTGAGCGACAGTATGACGTTGTGAGACTAACACCCGAACTAACCGGAGTTCTGTCATTCGCGCCCGTTATCTGGCCAGTGAGGGCAGTCTGCGAAGCACGAAATATATCCTTCACTTGCAAGGTCAGCGAATCTCCTTGAGAAAGCAAGAGCGCGGACTGACCGTGTCTCCATCAATCGCCCCAGTCGATAGGACACTAGAAGTGCTGTGCGCATTCTTGAATTCACAACTCAACGCATATTCTCAACAAAACTCAACGCAGCAAACTCACCGTTTCTTCAGGAAGCGCCACGGTCGATGCGCTGGTCGAAGGAATGGCAGAGCCACCGTTCACGTCCTTTGTGTCACCAATCAACGGATATCCGTGCGCAAATTGAGAGGGT